GCTGTGTGCTGTTGTAGAATTGCTATGTTGCTAGTGAATTCTGAGTTGTAGTTAATTGGTTTATTGGTTATTGGTTATTGTTTGGATTGTTGAATTGAACCGGCTAGATTTAATAAGTATGGGATCATTGAATTGATTGAGTCGGTTTAATCGTTTTATGTTTCCGCACGTTGTATTGATCCAATTGAGGATTATTATCTGTAATGATAACAATCTGAAGGAAAATTTTTAAATTTTTGGGTTGGATCGTTTCACGAGGCATCCCTCTCTAATAAAGCAATGTAGTGAAAACCGATTGTTTTTTTAATTTTCAGCCGTCTGTGTGTTTGGCGTATTCTTACAAATGACACACTTTTTTTTGTTATATGATGTAGGGAGAACTACGCTTATTCAGAAACTTCAAGCTTTTGTGTTCTTCTGGGATTAGAGTTAGTTGATGTGTGATATTGTAATGACTTCTTCAACACGTAAATGAAGACAAGAATATGGAATTTGAGATCCCAATAGATGTATGTTAAATTTTGTAATATGTTAAAATGTTTGATAAAGAAGAAAAATAAGAATAGAAATTGGAGAGGACGAAAAGTAATCAAGAAATTCTACTGATTGTTTTATTTTGTGTTATTTATTCAGTTATCTCATTTGCTTGAATGTTTTCGATTCTTCTGAGACACTCTAAAACAATCTAAAATATTTGCGATAATTTTAAAATAGGTGATACCAAAAAATTGGGTATCTAGCGAGCTTAGAGAACGAACAGCACGAGATCATGATTCAAAACTCTATGGTAAGCCTCATGTCATTAGAGAATAAGAAAAAGATGATGATATTTGTGTATCTCAGAAGTGTGTGCATTGTGTGGCTAGATGCTGGTGATCAATTCTACATGAGTTATTGCTCGAATGAGAAGAAAATCTTTAATTTGTGTCTATAAACCCTATCATCTTTCGTTATAAAGGGTGAAAACGTCATCTTAACACTACCGTAGAAGGGATGTATTACCTCTATAAAACAAAATGATAAACTATACATTTAGAGTTCTTTTGAACTTGTGTGGGTTTAAAACAAATGCCGCCTAAAATCCATATATTTAGTCAAATCGATCATTTAAAATTGTTCCATATTGTATTTATATTTCTTTTGAACCAAAACCGTCCATGCTATTGACTTTTTGATGTTTTTGTTGCAGCACAGAAAATGGATTCTTCATGCTACGTTATCATGGCGACCAACATTGCAATGTTACTAAAACTCAGTTTTAATAATGTGGAGAAGAGATTTTAGGGTGGAAAGATCAATAATAGTGATTTCTTTAAACGTTTTATTTCATATTCAGATTTGAAGAAGTTTGAGAATTGAAAGTTTAATCACATTTTTGGGCGTATTATACATCAATACCATACAAAGTAAAAAAATTAGGTAGATCAATTTTTAAGTTATATGAAAATTATTACAAGTATATTTTTTTATGTTTAAAGAGAATCCAATTAAAATGTCATATGCGGGGATAATACCAAAATAACTATTGTATTAATTCATTCTTAAAATTGTATACCTTATTAATTCTTTCAATTTTTATATTCGCGGAGAAATTTAACAAACATAAATTAACTATGCTTTTTGAGAATTAGTCTCCAATCAATATAGATCAATATATTTAAATTATATTTTTGCAACAAATTAGTGCGATTAAGATATATGGTATAAAATATCCTATACAATTTGATTTATGTATTTTTGAAAAATAAATGGGTAAAAAAAATTACGTTAAGAACATATTAATGAATTACTTATCCGCGCATGCGCGCGAATAGCACCTAGTTCTTATTATCAACAAAAACAAAATTAACATAATTTAAAATAGTTGACATGGCACAACACTATTGATAGAATTAAATCCTAGATAGACGTCTTTAAGAGTTTATAGCCTCAATTTTTATAAAGTATAGATTTATGTATATCACAATATTCCAATTTGAAACTCTTGTTCTTGTGTATATAAAAACTAGTTAGGCAAAGATGAGGCCTTGAACAAGAGTCGGCCCAACAACAAGTTTCAGTTTGAAGCTGTGTCTGTATCAACGATTCACAAACAGATTTGTGAACATTTGTCCTCAGTTTTTGGGATCAAAGACACGAAACCCTAAAATTAAAATTGAAGAAAGGAAAGAAGATGGGTGGAAGAACGGACGGAGATGGCGGAGGTAAAGAGAAAGAGGAAGAACAAGACGGAATGTCCGTACACTCTCCCTGTAAAGCTTTACCTTCTTCCGCTTC